AATTCGCCTATCTTCTCAAAAAGAAGGTAAAGTTAGGACACGAGAAAGGGTCTTCTACTGTCTATATTTTACTAAATAGTCTCCATCTGAAAATTTATTCCTTAGTAATGATATATTATTGACAATAGGGCTTAACGGATAATTATGTTCCAGAGATAAATTTTAAGCCGTTTCAACTCATTAGTCATATGGTTGCTATCCGCCAGTTTCATACTCCTAATAATCATTGACTTACAAATTCCAACCTAGATGACAAATTGACCATTCATATATCTAACCAACAATTTGGGGGTTAGTATTGCCTCTTCTAGAAAGTGTTAATCAAATATTGCCATATGGTTGTTCGCGAAGATGAGAGCTAAGCTAGATCCCATTGCAAGTCCTTGTGTTTGCTAATATAACTTACCATCAAAGGTAAAATAGCTGCTAATTATGGGTAGGCTATGAAGTCTATCTATGAACGCTGCGCTTAACCTTATTCCTTGTGTGATCTTTGAGTGTTTCTCCAGAATTTATACTAAATCCTGAATGGCTCTTTGAACATGAACATAGACACAACATCAAGACTTGTTAGCTAATCTTATTCTGAAGTTTTTTGCTGATCAATTAATTTAACAAACACAAGAATTTTTAACTGAATATAGTCAAGGATTGACAGTTTTCCTTGGTCGTATGCATAAAGAGCGTGAAATTTTCTACATCAAGTTTCCTTTATTATTTGCAATTAATTTTAGAGGGATACCTTCCTTGTGAACCTTAAGGAGACCGTAAGCTATGGGGGCCTTTGCATCTCTCTAGAGTAGTAAATTCATTTTCCACGTTTCCATTTCACCACTACTTACGCATACCTTAAGAGCCTCCATTTGCTTAGTCTTAAATCTTTCTGCTGAAGCTCTCATTAAAGGTCTATTCGTGCTATTATCGTTAAAATGAATGATATTTTTTTTCTATATAGCTTGACCTACCCATGCCTATAACTGCTCTATCCCTGTCTGTTCTCATAGCGATTATATTATTACTACAAATATCTAGAAACCCTACTAAGAAAACAAGTTTTATTTGGTGGGATTATATGATCAAAATGATGGATTACCTCCAGTTCAATAATATTATTTACTTCTTCAGGCAAGCTATCATATAAGCTAATTAATTCAACAAATATGTTCAGATAATAGTTTGTCTAATTTGGAACAGCAAAATTCAATCCTCTTTCCAATAAAAGTTCCATTTTATTCTCCAGAGTCATACAAGATAAATTGATTATCTTATCCTTTACCAGTTTGTTCCAAACATAGTTACTACGACTTACCCTAGGCACAAAATCTCCCAATCTTATTCTAATTCCTAAGTTCCGGAGATTCTTATCATGTATACACCGAGTTATTTTGTCCGTGGCCTCTGCTAACCTATCAGCCATATCTTGTAAGTTAAGGAAATCCACATCAGTCATTACTTCGGAAAGTGATTGTCTAAGATTGGCTCTAATTGTAATTAGTTCGTAAAATATGTTAATGCTTTCCTTCGCTACACACACACTCACACACGCACGTACACACACATAATCGAGCAAAGTAACAGGACCAATGCGAAAGATAATTCGTTAAGCCATTCTATATCTATCTGGACCTTTTATTTTTATTTTGCTTATTTGAGTCTATATAAGAGGTAAGATAGAGCCGGATAATCTTCTTAACCTAGTGTTAACGTGCGACTTAAAAGAATGAGTTCCAGCTCTGATGGTGTTTTATGAATGCTGGACGAAACTCAGTCCATTTTTATCCGATGCGAGGGAGGATGTCTCATGGATTGCATTAACCTAAAAGTCATAATAAGGCCAAAAACCTGCAATACAACGGGATTCAGCCGTCGCCTTCTAGTGAGATCAACCTAAGAGTCTTTTCCTTATTCAATTTAATACGAAATAAAGGTCTTCCTAATAACAATAATTAATTTGCATCTCAAAGATAGGTCTTTCATAAGAATCGAAGGTATGAAGACCAAAATGGTGTGGCCTTTTGTGTGGTCGCAGTCTCCTTTCGTTGTATAGAGGTTGTTTGATCATGTTTTCGCAACTTTGTCACATTTGTAGGAAGACTTAGATGAACGCACCTAGTCCTGAGTCCATTTTATGCATGATCATTTCCAAAGTCGGACCGTGGACCTAGTACATTACCAGACGATTAGCCGGCATCGTAGTTGGCATCCTCAGTGA